GGGCCCAGTCCAGAGTGAACTTCAGCACCGAGAAGGTTTTTCCCACACCGGCCACGCCGTGGGTCAGAACCACTCTGATGGGTCCAGGCTGGTCAGCTGAGGCTTTAAAGATGTCGTGGCACCTGATTGGAGCGTCCTGGGGGCTCCTGGAGGCTGTCTCCAGCTGCCTCACCTCATGTTGAGCTTGAAGCTCTGCACTCTGTCCCTGTGTGATGTAGAGCTCAGTGTAGACCCTGTTGAGGAGGGTTCCACTGCCTGCTCCATCAAACCCTTCAGTCACATGTTCACATCTCCTGCTAAGACTCAGCTTATGTTCCTCTAAGACCTGCTGCAGGCCAGCATCTGCTGAACGAAAAAAAACAATTAAACCAAATAGAATACCATCAAAAACTCAAAAACACACTCAACACACAACACTATATACAGTATATATATACACACACATATACATATGTGTGTGTGTGTGATGCCACGGGTAACATATTTTGATAGCGACTTTTATTTTGTAAGTAATTTCTCCGTTTGGGTATGATGTCACTTCCTGTAAGCTCCCTTTTCAGTTGTTCAAGGTGAAGGAGAGATGTTAGCTGAGCTCCCCTGAACTGTATCTTTCCATTTTGGTGTGGCATTGCCAGTGAGTATATTTATGTTTGTTTGACGGTAAAAAGTAAAAGTTAATAAGCAAATAAATAATTTAGTTTTTTTGGGGATGATAAAGTTAGTTAGTTTGTGCGAAAATAGTAACACAGCGAATGTAGTAGAAAATGATGTGTGGTTCAACTAATTTTAGCTATTTTGTGTACAATACCTAATTAGCATGGAAGCTAGGCGAAGTGTGGTATTTAGTTATCCATCTGTTTTACTTATTTATGTGGATGTTTGTGATGCTTGCCTTATTATTTCATGCTTATTTCATGTTTATACATTATTTAAGCTTACTCACTGTATTTGTATTTATTTCAGTTTTGCCTTCTTTTCAATAAATCTCGTCAAATACGAGACCTGCCTCTTCCTTGGGGGATTTGCTGAAGAGACGAGTTTAGCTGGCTGTTGGATTCAAGAATAGTACAATATCTATATACAGGGGTTGGACAATGAAACTGAAACACCTGGTTTTGGACCACAATACTTTATTAGTATGGTGTAGGTCCTCCTTTTGCGGCCAATACTGCGTCAATTTGTCTTGGGAATGACATATACAAGTCCCGCACAGTGGTCAGAGAGATTTTAAACCATTCTTCTTGCCGGATAGTGGCCAGGTCACGACGTGATGCTGGTGGAGGAATATGTTTCCTGACTCGCTCCTCCAAAACACCCCAAAGTTGCTCAATAATATTTAGATCTGGTGACTGTGCAGGCCATAGGAAATGTTCAACTTCACTTTCATGTTCATCAAACCAATCTTTCACCAGTCTTGTTGTGTGTATTGGTGCATTGTCATCCTGATACACGGCACCTCCTTCAGGATACAATGTTTGAACCATTGGATGCACATGGTCCTCCAGAATGGTTCGGTAGTCCTTGGCAGTGACGCGCCCATCTTGCACAAGTATGGGGCCATGGGAAGGCCATGATATGGCAGCCCAAACCATCACTGATCCACCCCCATGCTTCACTCTGGGCATGCAACAGTCTGGGTGGTACGGTTCTTTGGGGCTTCTCCACACTGTAACTCTCCCGGATGTGGGGAAAACAGTAAAGGCGGACTCATCAGAGAACAATACATGTTTCACATTGTCCACATCCCAAGATTTGCGCTCCTTGCACCATTGAAGCCGACGTTTGGCATTGGCACGAGTGACCAAAGGTTTGGCTATAGCAGCCCGGCCGTGTATATTGACCCTGTGGAGCTCCCGACGGACAGTTTTGGTGGAAACAGGAGAGTTGAGGTGCACATTTAATATTGACGTGATTTGGGCAGCCGTGGTTTCATGTTTTTTGGATACAATCCGGGTAAGCACCCGAACATCCCTTTCAGACAGCTTCCTCTTGCGTCCACAGTTAATCCTGTTGGATGTGGTTCTTCCTTCTTGGTGGTATGCTGACATTACCCTGGATACCGTGGCTCTTGATACATCACAAAGACTTGCTGTCTTGGTCACAGATGCGCCTGCAAGACGTGCACCAACAATTGGTCCTCTTTTGAACTCTGGTATGTCACCCATAATGCTGTGTGCATTGCAATATTTTGAGCAAAACTGTGCTCTTACCATGCTAATTGGACCTTTACAGTCTGCTCTTTTTGGTTCATTGTACAATTAATGAAGATTGGCCACCAGGCTGGTCCAATTTAGCCATGAAATCTCCCACACTAAAAAAAGAGGTGTTTCAGTTTCATTGTCCAACCCCTGTATATATATAAGGGAATGTCCGACCTGCAACAGTGCTGGTTCTTTCTCCACACTGGGGACAGGGGGGGTCCACTGATGAGGCAGACTGGTCCCAGTATGAGCTGCTGCACTGTCTGCAGAACCAGTGTCCACAGCTGGTAGAGACTGGATCCTTCAGGACGTCCTGACACAAAGCACAGCTGGACAGCTGCTCCTCTTCCCAGACACCACTCCTCTTCCTCCCTCTGTGAAGACATTTCTCCATCACTAACATGGTTCCAGCAGAGCCAGAGCTGCTGTCTCTGCTCCTGATGGGAACAGAAACCTCCCTGCTGCCCTTCCTGCTTTTGATTCAATGTCTGCTTTCTGTGGAGACTTCACAGCTGAACCCACAGCTGCTGCTCTACATTCAGCATTTATGTCATGAAACTTCATTCATCATTGGGACATTTCATAGTGAAGACCCCCTGATCCATATACGGAAGAAGGAGAACACTACAGGTAGGAAGACACAAGACCAACCCTAATGGAGGGAAAACAGAACCTCACTGGAGACTTTTAAAGAGGAACCAAAGAAATGACATGTTGAATCCTGTCTTACTTTGTGTCTGGGGGTCCAGGTCCATCTCTGAGGTCTGGAGGTTTACCCATGGACCAGTCACTCTTCACAGACACACAGTCGGGTTCTGGATCCTCTGCTCTCTGTCTGTGGCTCTGATCTCTGCAACACAAACATGTTGTTCACATCACCACAGAGAAACTCTCTGTGTCATAATCTGGGTCCCTTTGTCTCACCACCTGATGTCGTTAAGTCCCTCTTTCTTTTTAGTTGTCTGTCTCCACCACCTGTTCCCTATTATTGTCATGTGATTGCTTCGTTATGTTGGAGTATTTAAACCCTGTGTTCTGTTGCCCTCCTTGTTGAGTCTTTGTTGGTCACCCAGTAAGTCTTGTGCGCTTCTTTGCTCTTTTGCCTCAAGTCGCTTTTTGTTCTTTGGGTCTTATATCTGTTTGCCCTTGTGGAAGTACTTACCTTTTGGATGTATTTTGTTTTTGAGATCTAACTACCTGTGTTCTGGACTTTTTGCCTTTATTGGAAACTTCTGAGCGTTGGATTATTTTTGGGAAATGAACTCTTTTCCTCGTTGACACTTGCCTGCGCTTGAGTCACTATCTAGGCCTCCGTGGGTCAGGAGATTGCTTCCCGCCTGCCACCTGGGAGACCTGGGATCCATCCCTGACCCTGACACTCTGATGGAAACTAATCCAAACCTCTGAGCACACAAACTGCTGAAGAGGATCAGGAACTTTCCTCTGTGGGACTCTCCTCTCAGACCATAG